GGGTGGTGGGGGGGGCTCAGCCCCTGCACTTGGCAGGGTGGAGGCTGGGAGGGCACAGCCTGGCCTGCTCACGGAGCTGTTCTGTCCAGCCAACCCCTCCCTCCCCGCTCCCACCTCTCCCCCTTCCACTCTTTCTAAACAAACCAATGGGAAAAATATCCTTAGTTGAGGATTAAAAAACAAACCAAACAAACAAACAAACAAAAAACAGGAGGAGAAGGAGGAGGTGAAACCAAAACCCTGAAGTGCCGGGACCACCGTCCTGTGCTGAGGGCCTGGGTCTGCTCCCCGGCCCTCAGTGCTCTTCCCCTCCCACCCCACCCTTCACCCCGCGGCCTGTCTTGCCCCTGTTTCAGTGTCCTAGGCTGCCATAGGAAGTGCTGGTGGCTTTTCATAACGAGAACACACTGTTTCACGGTTCTGGAAGCTGGAAGTCCAAAATCAAGGTGTCAGCAGGGCCAGGCTCCCGCGGAGACTCCGGTCGGCTCGTCCTGGCCTCTTCTAGCTGCTGGTGCTGTTCTGGGCGTTTCTAGGTTTGCACGGTGTCCACCAGCCTGCCTCGGCCATCACATGGTGCTCTCCCTGCGTGCCTGTCTTCACGTGGCATTTTCCTCTTCTGAGGATACCAGTGAGACGGGACCCACACTAATGATCCCTCCTAACCCGATTACTTCTGCAAAGACCCTGCTTCCACATAGGGTCGTATTTCCAGGTATAAGAGTTAGGACTTGAACAGTGTAACCACAGCACACCCTGTAGCCTTCCTCCTCTGGCTGTTCCTGATATTCATGGGTGGGTTCAGTTCAGGTGCCCTGGGGCCCACACTCTTCTTGGAACGGCCCTTACAGCCCCACCCTGACATTGACATTGGTGCCAAGGCCTCGGAGACCTGCCCCGAGTCCAGGCCCTGCCCTTAGTGACGGATGTGCCTTCCCCTTTCCTTCCCCTGCTCACTTAGCAACCAAGAACCAGCAGGTCCCTTGGAGCCGTCAGAATGCTGGTCTTCTTCGTAGTAAACCGTGGTGCCGTTCCCCTTCTGGAGTATTAATTACTGCTTCAACGTGTAATTAGTCAGCAACAGAATTAGTGGGAGTCCCAAACCACGGAAGGACAAATTGGACTCACCCCGTGGAGGTTTGCCCCTGCCCCTCCGGGGGTGATGTGACTTCCACGGAAAGGGAGACACCAACCTTCCTTTCCTGCGACCTTTCCCCCGGTGGACTGGGCTCAGAGTTTGGAAAATCTGTTTTATTTATAACTGTATCAGCCCATTGCTATTATTATTTTTTTACCTTTGGACATTTTTTATGGGTAGTGGTTTTTCTTTAATTGATCTTCAGTAATCTATACATTAAAAAATTGTAAACCCTAAGGTGGCATTTAGCGGCGGCATATCCTTCTTGGAATAGGAAAGGTACGGACCATAAATGAAAGAAGATGTTAAAGCCTTTTTACTCTGGTGACGTGGCTGAGCAGAAGTCTCTTTTCAAAGCTGCCCAGTCTCCCTCCAAAGACCCTGGTCACTCAGTTTTATTTGTAAAACCTTTTCTTTTTTTCTCTCTCCTCATCTATCCTTAAGAATATTATAAATACCAATTGTAATTGAGGGTAAATTGAGTTGAATATTTCTTTGTTTTTGCTTCATGGTTCCTAGCACGCTCTATCCAAAAGGGTAGTTTAAAAAATATTTGATTGCCGAAACCGGTTTGGCTCAGTAGATAGAGCATCGGCTTGCGGACTGAAAGGTCCCAGGTTCGATTCCGGTCAAGGGCATGTACCTTGGTTGCGGGCTCATCCCCAGTGGGGAGTGTGCAGGAGGCAGCTGGTCGATGATTCTCTCTCATCGATGTTTCTAACTCTCTATCTCTCTCCTTTCCTCTCTGTAAAAACTCAATAAAGTATATTAAAAAAAAAAAAAAAAGAATAGTGCTCTGCTGAGCCATATTGGAGCTTGAAAAAAAAAATTTGATTTGTGGTGCGGTCACTGTTAATGCTTGTTCTTTCACTGTTAATTTTTTGAGCTCTCTATATACATAGTACTACTTTGTAGCCAAAGGGAGGAAAATATTTCCTTTCTTTTCATTTGGGCTGGACACTGATCTGTCTCTGACTCAGTTTCCTTATTTGAGCTTCCTTATCTTCCCATCTGTGAAATCTCTGGAATGTCCAGAGTCCTAGTTGGTTTTTTACTCATCAAGTATCTGGATTGCACACAGGAAAGACAGCCTTCGTATCTCAGGTGCAGAATTAATTCAGTGAGCAAGGCAGAGGTAGGCATTTCATGAAAGCGCAGTTTTTGTTTGCCCTGATCCCAGCGCAGGCCTGGGCTCAAGAGCGACATCTGTCCTGTGTTTGTTTTCTATTATTCGCTGGTAATAATGGCTGTCATTAGAGAGTGGAGAGTTGCCAGGGCCCTTCAGATGCGTTGTTTAACGAGCCTCCTCCAGAAGAGCCGTTCTCCGAGCTTCGGTGGAGATGGGAAATGTGGGAAGCAGTTGTAAGTAGGAGGCACCCGCAGCAGGAAGGAAGGCTGAGGCCCAAGATGTGAAGAGGAAGTTGGAGGAAAGCCCACCACTACAAAAAGAGGCTGAAATGGAAAGAACAATAAATAAAACAAAAGCCGGGAACACTGGATTTATCTCTGGCTCTGCTGCTCCTCATCTGTGTGACCTTGGAGAAGTCAGCTAACTTTTCTAAGCCTCCATTTCCTCATCTGTAAAATGGGCACAAGGATCCTTGCCCTACCTGCCCCAGGCTGTCAAGAGGATCAAGTAAAAGTGCTTTGGAAACTGCAAACCACCACGAGAGTCACAGTGGGCCGTTGTCCTCCTCTTCATTATTCTAACGTAATAACTGACCGTGTAAGAGTTTTGGGGAGGCCCTACCAATCGATGGGACTAGTCAGAGGCCTCCTTCCCCCAACCAAGTGTGTATGTCTAACCCTGGAGGAAAGATTCAGAGGTTTTCAGGATTCACTGGCATCCTTGCGATGTTGTTGGCAGGAGAGGTGGATAAAGGGGGGCTGTCTCACCCGATCCCGATCCCCCCCAAAATGTGGCTGAGCCCACAGATGGAACTCTGGTGCCTCTGCAGTGGCTGACTGGACACCACAGTCTGAATCAGGGTGCCAACCTGAGGGAAAAGGGGGTGATAGGCCCTTCGTTATGAGGCAAGCATTTGGTGGACTCGTTCCCTAATAAAGAATATTGGACTTGGGCCTGGGCTGGGTGGCTCACTTGGTTGGAGCATCGTCCCAGACACCAAGAAGGTTGCAGGTCTGATCTCTGGTCGGGACACATACCTAGGTTGTGGGTTCAATCCCCAGTCAGGGTGTGTAGGGGAGGCAACTGGTGAATGTTTCTCTCTCACATTGATGTCCTCCCCCCCGCCCCCTCAAAAATCAATAAACATATCCTTGGGTGAACATTTAAACAAAATGGAAAGAACTCTAACTCCAGTTTGTATAAGCAAAAGAGGCCCTTTCCTGGTTCATATGCCTGGGAAATCTTGTCGTAAGTTGGCTTCTGCCTAATATTCTTTCAGTCTCTGTTGGCTTCTTGCGCAGGCCACCTCTCCCTCAGGTGGAGACAGCCCTGCAGCCCCAGCCGACTCCTCACCTCAGAGCTGGCCATCCCAGGGATGGTCTTGCAGAGGGTGACGATTGGCTGGCATGGGTCATGTGCCCACCCCGAACCAATCCTGGTGGCAAGATGGGTGACTCTGGATGCTCCTGGGTCACACATTGGTCCCTGGAGCTGAAGCGGGGGTGGGGGTGGAGAGTTACCTAAAGATATGCTAGACAGGCAGCAAAGTTGACCCGATAGCATGTTGCCCTTACCGGAAGTCATTCCTTGTCCTTTGCGTGGCCGAGAATGGGGCCGAGCAGACCGTGTGTCTGACCCAGGCTGTTCTTACTGTACCAGCAGCAAACCTTGCTGATGGCCTGCTGTGTGCAGGACTCAGAACTGGGGAGGGAGGGAAGCATGCTAAGTTGGCCTTTCTTTCAGGTTGCTTATCATCCAACAAAGGAAAATAGGACATACACCCGTAAAAACAATGAGCATCACAGCATTTACAAGAATACGAGTGACTAAGAAAGGGAGGGTCCCTGGCCTTGCCACAGGTGTGACCACGAGCAGGCCATTCGGCTGGTTTGGTTGGAGCTTCCTAAGCCATAAACTGAGAAAGGGAGTTAATGTTTGTCCCCTGTTTCCTGAGCTGCAAATGTGATTTCTAGAAGAGGTGCCAACTGCCGTTTCTTTGAGCACAAACACGCCCTCGAAAGAGGGTCGCTGCTCAGGGAAGGACAGGCGCTGCGCTGGGCTGACAGGGATCCTTTGGGAACTGCCTCCAGGGAAAGCCCCCGCACGTCATCCGTCCCCACCTCCAGGGGTGTGGAGTGTCCGGTATTTGGCCTTGTCCTGACATCTCAAGGCCACCCTTTCTGACCCAACTCCCCAGGACCCCGCTGACCTGTGCTGGTGAGAACACAGAGCAGCAGAGAGCTGGGGTGGACAGGCCATGGGCTGGGACACACGGGGAGGGGTTTGCAGAGCTGCAGAAGTGCGGGCCAGCCCCACGCACCCTAAGGCCAGGTTCCTCCTGGGTCTTAGGGGGCTATGGTCATGTTCACTCACCTTGAAAACCGTTAGGCCTGGGTCCTGGGAAGGTACCGCGTGAAACCCGACCCCTTCCTGCATGAAGGGCAGAAAGCTCTTACCTGCTGTCAACACTGGCACCATTAAGCAGGTTCCACCTCCATCACCTGGGACTTGTGTTTCCTTAGGCCTTTTAGTCGACTGAAAATGAGACTTTCCACCAGGCTGGCAAACAAAAAACTCTTGATGCTATTTTTTTTAAAGTTATGATGATGAGCCAGTGTAAAACATGAAAAAATATTTATATAAACATTAAAGCAGTGAATTGATTTTTAAAATATTGAAACAAAATAAAAACATTCATAATTTTATCCTAGCATGGTGTTCACTTTTGTGCCTATGACTTCCCTATGCACAAGTGGTTTATAGTTGTTTACCAGACCGAATTTTCATGATCTGCACTAAAGAACAAAGAAAATGATGCTGGGATATCTATCCACATACAAGAGAATGAAGTGGGACCTTTACCTCATACCGTATAAAAAATTAATTTAAAAGTTATGATGAGCTAAAACTGTAAAACTCTTAGAAGGAAATAGAGGTGTGAATCTTTGTGACCTTGGGTTTGGCAATGGCTTCATAGAGAATGATACCCACATCACAAACAGCAAAACAAAAAATAAGTTGTATTTCATCAAAATTAAAACCTTTTATGCTTTAAAAGTTTGTGCCCTGACCAGGAATTGAACTGTGACTTGGTTCATAGGTCGATGCTCAACCACTGAACCACGCTGGCTAGGAAAATGAACAGATTTTTTAACTGATTTTTGGGGAGCATGTGTGGGGGTAACGAATGAGAAATAAGGTCATGTTTGGTGGTGGCTTACTGTTTGGAATCCTGCCCATGGCCACCACCCTGGGTGCTGTATGGTGGTCTTGGTGTACAGTCCCATCATCATTCTCTGTTCTGCTGAGGCCACCCCAGTTCTTGCACACATTGGTCCTGAGGATTGCAACGATGTCAGGCCAGTTTACTCTTAGGTGATCAACTGGGACTTCTGTTAAAAACATCCGTTGGTGGAGCCCTGACCGGTTTGGCTCAGTGAATAGATCATTGGCATGCGGACTGAAAGGTCCCAGGCTTGATTCTGGTCAAGGGCATGTACCTTGGTTGTGGGCACATGTAGGAGGTGTGCAGGAGGTAGCTGATGGATGTTTCTCTCTCATCAATGTTTCTAACTCTCTGTCTCTCTCCCTTCCTCTCTGTAAAAAATCAATAAAATATATTAAAAAAACACACACACAAAAAATCCGTTGGTGGAAACAACCCAAGTGGCCACCGACAGAGGAATGGATGAACAAAATGTGATATGTACACACAATATCATGCAGCCTCATAAGGACTGAAGTACTGACACATGCTACAACATGGATGAGCCTTTGAGTTCTTATACAAAATGAAATAAGCTAGACTCCAAAGGACAAATATTATGATTTCACTTATTATGAAATATCTAGAATAGGCAAGTTTGTAGAGACATGGAGTAGAATAGAGGCTACCAGGGACTAGAGGGAGGGGAAATGGAGAGTTATTGCTTAATGGTTATAGAGTTTCTGTTTGGGGTGATAAAAAGTTTTGGAAATAGATAGTGGTGATGATTGTAGAACACTGGGAGTATACTGAATTGTACACTTAAAAATGGTTGCAAAATGATAAGTTTTATATGTATACATATGTTTTTTAATATATTTTTATTGATTTAAGAGAGGAAGAGAGAGAGAGAGAAACATCAATGATGAGAGAGAATCATGGATCCGCTGCCTCATGCACGCCCCACTCTGGGGATCAAGCCCACAACTTGGCATTGTACCCTGACCGCGAATTGAACCGTGACCTCCTGATTCATAGGTCCATGCTCAACCACTGAATCACACTGGCTGAGTTCTTAAAAATAATAATAATAATTTTTTAAAAATCCCCTGGGGAATAAATGGAGCTCTGGCCTAGCTGTAATCCTGTCTGAGCTGACATGGGAGGAACCCAAGTTATGGGATGACCTCAGAGGTAGGGTATCGCTGAGTAGAAATGCTAGTTTTGTTTTTCATGTAGGCCAAGAGTTAGAGAAAGATGGGGTGGGACTTTGTACTTAGTGGGTATTTTCAGGGTGCCTGGCGGGAAGTGCTGTGCCTCCGGGAGGGGATGGTCGGACCCCAGGAGAAGTGGCAAAGTGTGGGGCCTTCGTAAAACCGGAATCTGACTCAGTACCTGCTTTCTCCCCGAACAGAAAAGGGAGATTTCATTGCCCTGGACCTTGGTGGGTCTTACTTTCGAATTCTGCGGGTGCAAGTGAGCCTAGAGAAGAACCAGAATGTTCACATGGAGTCCGAGGTGTATGACACGCCGGAGAACATCATGCACGGCAACGGAAGCCAGGTGGGTCCCCTGGGCACCAGACCCCACAGCACTGGTGTCCTGAGCTCCAGGAAGGAGCCCGTCATCGATGCATGTGGAGGGGGACTCCTGGGGGAAGCTGTGACTTCCTGAAGAGACCCGCTGCCTGGGGACACTGGTGGATGGGGCTCCAGGGACTGTCAGTCACAGGCGGGGGTGTGAAGACGGAGATCCAGCAGCTCTGTTGGATAAAGGCATTCATTCCCCAAGGATCCTCAGCACAGGTTTAGCAGAGCCCTTGTGTCAAAACACCCCTTCCTAATCATTGGCCTCCCCACCCACCTCACCACCGAGGGTGTGGCTGGCACCTATGAGGCGGCAGGAATTTTAGTTTGCAATCCCGGGACTAATCAAGGGATCCTGGCCACCTGCTTTAATAGCCTCCTGGGAGTCCTGGGCACCAAGAGCAAATCGGGCAGGGCCTTAAGTGGAAAATCACCGTCCCCTCCTCTCTCACTTGGTACCAGAGCCCCACCCACTTCAGGGCTCCCCCCTACCCCCTCGTCCCCCTGCCCCTTGCAAGGGCTACCTGCCTTTGCTGGCCGGGGGGCCATGGCCATGCTCGTGCTCATGCTCAGAAGGACCCATCCAGCCCTCTCCTGCCCGTCTGGTTGCAGTGAGTGGCGGGTCCCTGGCTGAGGACCCTGTGGTCAGGGTTCAGGCAGTCCCTGGTCAGGTTTTCAGCCACGTCTGCGTCCTGTAAGCCCCTACCCCTGTGGATGTTCTGGCTCCTCCAGTTTGTAGCTTGCCTCCTGGGTCATGGCTGCCATCCAAGGTACGGGCTCAGAGATCGCCAAATATTTGCTTGAGGGAGGGTGTGTTCACTCTAAGGTCCATGACTAATTTCTCCAGAAAACCCATTTGCTCTGGGCTAGGCTCTGACATGAGGCCCAGCAGCCACCTCCTCTTGGCTCCACTATGCTCCTAAATTAACATGAGTGGGACTAGAGCAAGCACTCTGCCTTTCTGAGAAAAGGGGTAAGCCTGGCCTTTAACCTGCTTCTGAGGGTTTTGGTTAAGAGCTTTTCAGGCCGTGACACTGTCATTGGAGCAGATGACCCGCCAGTGGTTCAGTGGTTCAGCCACTGAATTGGGTTGTCTCCCTCATCCATGGCCCTGCCTCGAGGTGTCCCGCTTAGAAACCGGCCCATTCATCCGGCGTGTGTGCGCGAACCCTGCCAGCTGGTGGGGCTCCTAGCCCTGCCCCGTGGCTGCTGCACTGCTCCTCCTCGCAGTGGCTGGCAGGCTTGGGTGGCATCCTTGCGCTTTCCATTTAGCAACAAGTACTGACCTGGCGCACTCTGTTCTCATGGTCCTTGGGTTGAGCCACCTCTGCCTGCTGCCTTCACTCCTGGGACTGTCCCCCTGTGCCTCGACATTCCTGTGTGCTTTGGCAGGGTTTGCAAATTAAGGGGTGTCTGTCCCACAGTACATACTGGCCATGTTCACTTCCTTCTTTTTTAAAAAAATATTTTTTCTTTATTTTAGAGAGAGAGGAAGGGAGGGGGATAGAGAGAAATATCAGTGATGAGAGAGAAACATTGATCAGCTGCTTGTGTATGCCCCCTACTGGGGATTGAGCCCACAACCTGGGCTTGTGCCCTGACTGGGAATTGAACCATTGTCCTTTTGGTTCATGGGTTGATGCTCAACCACTGAGCCACACCAGCTGGGCCATAGTGACTTCCTTCTAACTGCTGCCTCTGGGACCTCGTTTCTGCCAGCCTCTTTCCCCATCTTCGCAGCCCCAGGTTCACTTTCTTTCCTGCTGTCTGTTTTCTCCTCTGCCCTTTTGAACCGGTCTGCAAAGAAGGAAGATGATGATGATGATAACGATGATGATGTAGTATTATAGTAAATACATAGCATTTGTTATATATAAGTCACTAATGTAAGCACTTAATATGGATTCACTAAGTTCATCATCACAACAACCCTCTTGGATAGGTATTACTATTCCCATTTCACAGAGGAAAAAATTGAGGCTTGATGTTAAGTAACCAGCCCTTTGGGTCTCACAGCTGATAAGGGATAGATCCGGGATTTGAACCCAGGCAGCCTGGCTCCAGATGTGACACTTTTACCAACATGGAACACTCTTAGTCCGGGCTTTGTCTTTGTCTTGTTTTCATTTATTTAAAAATTTTTTGGTGGTGAGGAAATGGGAGGGCTGTGGGCAAGTCCAGGGGATGAGGGAGAAGGTTGCAGCTGATAAATAGGGAGGATAAGGAACCTCTGTTGCAGAAGTTTGGTGTGAAGTTAGACATAACTACTGGGTGGCCCATTTTTCTGAGATCTCGTATTGACCTGTAGAGTATTCTGGAAAACTAAGGGCTTTGTTTTGCCCACGAAGCAACTCAGACTCACGGACTCTGAACAGTGCCGAATTCTGGGCGTTGTGATAACATCTTTTGAAATGTGTTGGGAATTCTTAATATATTTGCAAACCATTTGCTTGAAATAATATTGAACGTACAGAAAAGTTTTCATATAAGCACAAAGAATTCCCATATAGCCCTTGGTCCAGACTTCCCAATTGCTAACCATTTGCTCTAACCTCCCCTTTCTCTTTCTACACACACACGGTATCTCTAATTTTGATGCGATTGTAAGCTTTAATTTTGGAAGCATGCATGCAACCATAAAGCATCACTTCATTTAGGGAATTTTGAATAAGAAGTGTTTAGGTGTTTTTAGTGCTAGTTTGTCATCTGTCAGAGGAACTGAGTCTGTGTGTGGGGACTTTTAAAATAACTAGCAAGTTGTCAGAAAAGAGAAAAATGTTTTTCGGACCCTGAATGCAGAGAAGCCTTCCCCGGTTGGTCCCAGACATAGTTCGCCTGAGCTGGGGGTGGCTTCCTGTCTGCTGGAGCCCCTGGACAGTTCACAAATACGGCATTCCCTTCATAACAGGGCACTTTGGCTGGTTATGTTTGGCTCGGTTGTGGGGGGGCTGGTTAGTGCACCCCACTCCTGTGAATCCGCTCTGCAGCCTGCTGGCCTTCTCTGTGCGTGCGGATGACGGGGCGGGGGGCGGGGGGATGATGGGTGAGTGGGGGTGGACGTAGCAGTGGGCTTATAGCTCTCAGATGTAGGTCACAGGGAGCTTAGCCGAGCCTTGGGGGAAGGTGGCCACGTGTCTCCCCGTCGGTGCTGCCGGCGGCAGGCGTAGCCTGAGTCCCATTGACTCAGGGACAGGGGCTCCTGCATCCAAGCGGACAGGCTTTTCTTTACCCTGGCAGATAAGTCAGACTTTAGGCTGGGTCTGGGGCATCTGGAGAAAGACAGAGGTGGGAATGGTGACTTCTGGTCCCCTCTCAAGGGTACCCCGCAGGGAAAGCCTTCAGGCAGACGGCCTTGGGAGCAGGCCCGGTGTGCTGCCTGTGCCCGGGTGGCCCGGCTTTGCCGCCTTCTGGGCTCCAAGAAGCTCCGCAGTTGTGTCAGTTCCGTACAGAAGGGAGGCCTGGTGCTATGACGGCATGTGAAGAAGGGGGGGTGGGGTGGGGGCGGGGTAATACCTGGACTGTGGAGTACAGAGTTAAGGAAAAGGGGAGTTCTTAGTTCAACTGAGAACTCGGCCAGAACACATATGAAACTATATTCGGTTCTGGGTACATTTTAGAGAGGAAGGGAGCTATTAGATCCAAAAAGATTGCCTTAATGGTGGTGAGCCCCCATCACTGACAGTCTCTGTTCAGAGACTAGGGCAGTGATGGCGAACCTACGACATGCGTGTCAGAGGTGACACGCGAACTCACTTTTTTGGTTGATTTTTCTTTGTTAAATGGCATTTAAATATATAAAATAAATATCAAAAATATACATCTTTGTTTTACTATGGTTGCAAATATCAAAAAAGTTCTATATGTGACACGGCACCAGAGTTAAGTTAGGGTTTTTCAAAATGCTGACACGCCGAGCTCAAAAGGTTTGCCGTCACTGGGCTAGGGAAACAGTGTTCAGGCCTCTTTGTAGTCTATCCCACGATGTGTGTGCATTTCCCAGGCAGCGTGTGGTGGAGCAGGTGAGCTTACACCGCAATCCACTAAATATGGTCTATTCACCCCTTAGAATACTGTGCAGCCATGAGAATGAACAGTCTACAAAGACATACAGCAGGTGGAGGACTCACACACGAAACAGAGCGAAAGAGACATCCCTGGGAGGGCAGTGTCGTTCCGTTCATGCGTGGCGGACAGGCAGGACCAGTGGAAGTCAGGGTTCCTGGCGGTTACCCTTGTGGAGCTGGTGGTGGCAGCTGTGCCTGGAGGGGACCCCAGGGGGTGTCTGTGTGCTGATAGCTTGTGTTTCTTGATCTTTTTGGATCTAATACCTGGTGACACAGGTGGATACAGCTTGTGAGAACCCGGTGAACTCTGCACTTAGGGCATGGGCACTCTTTTTGGCATGTCCATTATACTTCAGGAAAAAGTAAAAATACGGCAGTCTGCCCTAACCGGTTTGGCTCAGTGGATAGAGCGTCGGCCTGCAGACTCAAGGGTCCCAGGTTCCATTCCGGTCAAGGGCATGTACCTTGGTTGCAGGCACATCCCCAGTAGGGGGTGTGCAGGAGGCAGCTGATGGATGTTTCTCTCTCATCGATGTTTCTAACTCTCTATCCCTCTCCCTTCCTCTCTGTAAAAAATCAATAAAATATATTAAAAAAAAAGACCTGGAACTTAAAAAAAAAAAATACAGCAGCCTGAAGATTGCTAAACCGCTCAAGTGCGCTAGCAACCGTGGGACTGCTTGCGGAGCTTCTGGGGTTTGCAGATTGAGGTAGACAGACAGAGGCGTCTGGGGCAATGGCGACGGAGTAATGACTTCTGGAGGGGCCAGGCGGGCACTCCACCAGGGTGGCTGATGGAGACCGTGTGACATGGAGGGATGAGCTGATTTCTATTATGTTTAATTAAAAAAAATTAAATTATGAGTTTTAATATTTAAAATATTTTTCCTATTTTAAATGTCCTCAATACCCTGATAATACCTTTTAGGGATTGCTAAGAGGGCAGTTCTGTTTGAAGGGTTTGAAATGCTCCCTCAGCCGTGCTGGCCCCCAGGACAGGCTGTGTGAAGGGACTTGTCTCTGCCGTTCACACTCACTGTGGCTTTTCAAGCAGGGCCTCAGGGTGCTGTGTCTTCACACTTTCCCTGAACTGCTTTTCTCCCTCCTGACTGCTCTTGTGCTCTCCCCAGCTTTTTGACCATGTCGCTGAGTGCCTGGGAGACTTCATGGAGAAAAAAAAAATCAAGGACAAGAAATTACCTGTGGGACTCACATTTTCTTTCCCTTGTCGGCAGACCAGAATAGATGAGGTAAGTTCATTCTGCGATCCCAGGCTCGAGGGAAGCCCCAGAGGGTAAAAGCTCACGAACCTTTTCTTGACTACCTTTCCCTTTTGTTTATGGGAAGGTCTGCGTGCCACATATACATATGTGTGTGTGTGTGTGTGTGTGTGTGTGTGTGTGTAAATACAGACAGATCTCAGGTTACATTGGACTCGACGTACGTCGTTTCGTGGTTACGTCGCCATCTCCCTTTTATTTATATAAAAAAAAGTTCCATCATTTCGACGTGTGTACATATGTGCTTTATGTTTTTATTATTATTTACCACAAGTGTAAAGGTCAGGAATTGTTATCTTTCTCTTAAATTTTTTTACTGTTTCACTTCATTACTGCTGTGTATGTGCTCCACGTGAGTGACGTAGGGGCTTATGAGGGTGGGTTCCGACTTACGTCGCGCCGTAGGAGCGGATCTCCAACGTAACCCGAGGGCCTACTGTACTGTCCCTGGCTTCCAGAAATGTTTGTTGTTCTGTTGGCAGAGCCACCCATCCATCCATCCACCCATCCACCCACCCCTGTTTCTAGCCATTTTAAACTAATATGCAAACGTTTAAAAAATGTGTTTTTATTGATGATTTTAGAGAGAGGGGAGAGAGAGAAACATTGATGAGAGGCAACCATTGATCAACTGCCTCCTACACGCCCCCTACTGCGGATTGAGCCAGTAACTCAGGCATGTGCCCTGACTAGGAGTCGAGCCATCGACCCCTTGGTGCATGGGACAGCACTCAACCAACTGAGCCACACTGGCCAGGCTGCATGTCTTATATTTTTTTAGAAACTCTGTAGACATGACCATGAGGTGATGATATTTGTGGCCATCAGGTAGAGAGAACCATGTATGAAAGTCAGGCAAGTGAAGGTTAAAAAGTAGGCTCAGTGATGGAGAGAGGTTGGGAAGCACTTGGTCAGAGTTGCAGGATGTGGTGTTTGTTTACCGGGAAGCCATCCTCATTAGAACGCCTCTGATCAGGATGCCACCCCCACAGCATCTGCTGGTCACTGGCGCCAGCCCCGGGAGGCCCTTGCTTCTCCTTTGGACCTCCCGGTGCTATGCACCCACCTTCCTGTGTGTCACTTGTT